CCTCCCATATCTCAAGAGACCTCCCAGTTTTACTAGTTTGAAAAGCAATTTGGAGTTGAACTGGGGCAACCCTACAAGAAAGCTGGGGAGGGACTTTTTAGGATATTGGGTAGTGACAGGACTGGGGGGAATGGGGCAAAGCTGGCAGTGGGCAGATTCAGGCTGGACGTGAGGAAGAAGTTCTTCCCCCTGAGAGTGGTGAGACCCTGGCATGGGTTGCCCAGAGAGGTGGTTGAGGCCCCATCCCTGGGGGTCTTTAAGGCCAGGCTGGAGGAGGCTCTGGGCAGCCTGATCTAGTGGGAGGTGTCCCTGCTCATGGCAGAGGGGTTGGAACTGGGGGATCCTTGTGGTCCCTTCCAACCCTGACAGATTCTGATCTGTTTTAGCAGAGGACTCTGTAGTGTTGGCTTGATGGTTGGACTTGATGACCTTGGAGGTCTCTTCCAACCTAAAGGATTCTTTGATTCCATGACCATTCCTTCCTCCCACAGGTGGACCCGATGCCCTTCTATGAAGCTTGTGTCCACGACGCCTGCTCCTGTGACAGCGGGGGGGACTGTGAGTGCTTCTGCTCCGCCGTGGCCGCCTACGCCCAGGAGTGCATCAAGGCTGAAGCTTGTGTGTTCTGGAGAACTCCTGATATATGCCGTGAGTAACCCTTCAGCTCAGCTCTGTCTTGGTGGCTGTGGTCAGGAAGCCCATCAATGAAACCATTCGTGCTGTCACTGCAAGGTCGTGCTGGCCACACAATGTGATTTATATTCAGGGTATATCAGGGAACAAAGAGAACTAGGAAATTGGTATATTTTGATTTATCTTTTATTCAACCTGTTTTCTTCCTTTCTTTCCCCCTCTTTTTTATTTTTTTTTCTTCTCTTTCTCTTCCTCTCTGTTTTTCCCTTTTTCTTTTTTTTTTATTTGTTAATAGTTTTTTTTCTCTCCCTTTTTTTCCCCTCTCCCTTTTTTTCCCTCTCCCTCTTTTTTCCCCCCTTTTTTTCCCTCTCCCTTTTTTTCCCTCTCCCTTTTTTTCCCTCTCCCTTTTTTTCCCTCTCCCTTTTTTTCCCTCTCCCTTTTTTTCTCTCTGTTTTCTTTTTCTTTCTCTTTCTCTCTCTTTTTTTTTTTTATTGATGTTAAGGTTGGTTTCATATCATTCTTCCATCCTACCTGATAACTGGTGAACTGCAGTTCCTGTTATTTCTCCTCTCTCATTTTTCCAAATTATTCAGAATCTGATTTTAGCAAAAGCATATGGAACGTGCTCCTGTGTAGATGAACCTAATAATTATTGAGTATATAAGCAGTGTCCACTAATGCTCATACCAGTCCATCATAAAATAATGTAAAATTAGATTAATATATCTCCAGAAAGTGCTGAAATCAAAATGGTTGAGATTTTAAGTGCAGAAATGTAGATTTTTTTTAACTTAAATTTGAAAAATACATTTGGAATTCAGGCCAGTTGTAGTTTTTAAGTGTAAGCAGTCGGTGAAACAGAAGTTTTACATTTCAATCAGCTCTGATATATAAGTTCATAAAAGCTCCTTCCTCTGTCCATTAATACCCAGACTAACTCTTTAACTTTTTTTTGTATGATTTGAAACAAATATTTTCACCTTATGGCTTGAGTGTTTAATAAGAACATCTTGTACCCCAGAGTTTTGACCCAAAATTTTGATGTACCCTATGTTTTAAGTGTAGTAGAAGAAAGTCCAGGTCCTCTACCTCAAGACAAAGCTTTTTTGGCATAATGAGTCAATTTATTTAGCTTGTAACTTTAAAGACCTGATCAGAGCTGTGTTCTGGCAACTGTGTTTTTAATCAGCTTCTCTTTTTTTTTGTCCTCAGCTATATTTTGTGACTACTACAACCCTCGTAACGAGTGTGACTGGCACTATGAGCCTTGTGGCAGCAACATCACGACCTGCAGGATGATTAACAACGTCAGCACCAACTTCACAGTGCCATACTTGGAAGGTAATAAATGCCTTGCCATTTTTTGCATTTTATTTTATATAAATATAGTCCAGGTATTGTTTAGTGGATATGGAATAGTCATCTTGAGAAGATACTCCTACATCTGTTATGTTGAATTTGTCTCTAGTTCATATATACATTTCCTAGACTGTAATTTATTAATTATTAACATCAGTGGGTGATAGCTGCATTGCTCTCAGCCATAAAACTATGTCTCTGCTCAGGTAATATCCTGAAACACCCAAGATTGTTGCACCATCCTTCACCAGAGGGAAAACATTTGACATGGGAAAGCAGCAAGTTATTGATAGTTGGGGGTTTTCAACCTGATCATTCTTTATGCATCAGACCACCTTGACTTTATTAATGTGAAGCATCCTCCTACCTCTACAATGGAAATTATCTTGGAGATATTATAAAGGAGAGCATAAAATATTGTCAGAGGGTTGCTGGGGGCTACCTCCATTCTTAGTGGGTTTCATTTATAGCTGTGGTGTTAGGAGGTGAAAGTCCTTGAGCTTGGTAAGTGAAAAGGAACTTCACATTATGGGGACTGCAGTGATCCAAGAATGTGAAAGATTACACACAAATATCTTTTGGTTTAACACATGATAAAATAGGAGAAAACTCAAGTTTTTGGCTACCCAGTCCTTTTGGGAAAGAAATGCCAGAGATTGACTTTGTTATTTTAATCCTTGAACTGCAGGAAACAAAACAAAACAAAACCCTTAACCTATAGATAGATAAAATATTAACTCCATATTTCAAAATAGTTTGCTTTAGAACATTAGAAAAATTTGGAAAGTGTCAGAAACCTAATTGGATCTATAATATTTTGCCTTCTAAATTATTTTTATCTTCAGTGGAAATATAAAGCACATTTACTTTTGTCAGGACATCTTCAGCACAGTCTGGCAGCATGAAGTGACTTTATTGTACCAGTTAATTAGATGGCCATTCAGTTTATAGGTTATTTAGAACTCCAGTACAGTATAAAGAGGAATTTATGTAATTAAGAATTTGATTTTATGAGAGTTTATTTGGAAGCAGGACACAATTTTTTTAAAAGTGTATTTACATGAAAATTGCAATGGGAATTGACAGACAATCCCTTGCAGGCAGAGTTTAGGTCACTGGCCAAGGGTATGGAAAAATGCAGATAAATTATCTGTTTGGGGTGGCCATACTGGTCTATTTGGGGTGGAGATAGCTGTCTATTAAAACACCATAATCAAGGTCTTGTGTTCCAATAAATTTAGTGAAAAACCTGCTTGTTAATTAATCCACTTCATATTCTTCACAAAAGTATTATTGATATAATGATCACGTCTCAATACCTGTAATAAAAATAGAGGTGGTTCTTTGTCTGAAAATTACCGGCTGCCCACAGAAATTAATATAAATGAGCAGTTTCTCCAGGATCTTGAATCTGGAAAAAGCAAATTCCATAATTCACATGTCTAAACTCATACTTAATCCTCCTCACCCCAATATTGTCAATGAGAAGGTTCGATTCAAGTCTTCTGGAAAGTCTAATTGTCCAAGGATTAATCTGAATTTGAATGCTTTTATTTCTTTCATTATGCTTGATTCAGTGAGAATCATTCCCCTTCAGAAGATGTCCTGTCATTGAGTTAAGTCTTCATCCCTGGTCTTCATCCCTTTTGTCCTACTTACCACCAACAGGTTGCTACCCCAGATGCCCTGAGAACAAGCCTGTTTATAATGAAGACACAAAGGAATGTGTGCAAGCAGATCAGTGTGGCTGTTACATCAATGGCACTTACATTCCTCTTTGGAACGAAACCATCACAGAAGAGAATTGCACAAAATGGTATATAGAAAAAGGCAAATATGTGCAGTAATTCAGGAAAATATTTATGTATGCTGAGCCCTTCATTTCTTTTACTGAGCCTCAAGCAAGTAGATTTGCAACTTCAGCTGAGGAGCTGGTACATTCTAGCATTTATCTACATAAATCAGAGGAAAAATGCCATTTATTCTACTTGAGGCTTGAAGTCAAAAAATACTGAGCTTATAATACCTACAGATTCTAAGCTTTTCATTCATAATTTTTCCAAACCTGATTTCAGGGTTGATAGTGTCCTTCTAAGTGTATCAGCAAATCCATGACGTGTACTCTTGGAAGTGTCATAAATGGGATGAAAACTGGGGGTGTCTCTGGAACAACCTTTGGAGCCTTGTGGGTTTTGGGAAGGGAGAGGCTACTCCGGCTTGCACTTAAAATGGGGATTTCAAAATCTCTGCCATCTGAAATAGTTTGAATGAAATAATGATAGGCAATATTGGGAAATATTACACCCAGAAAAATACCCCATAGTATGAGTGAGGATCAGGTGGCAAGCTCCATGGTTCTATCCTCTTGGCTCTGCCATAAAAGCATCTGCAACGTTCTAATCTTTGAAAATTTTGCTTCTAGTGTGTGTGGCCCCTCAGGAACAATAGAGTGTAAACCACTCCCAGGTAAATAACATTTCATTTTTAGCACAAATAGAAAAATAAAAATGTGTAGAATTGCTATGTCTGTTTCTACAAAAGACTTAGTATGATTTGGAATAATTCTTTCCAATGCAAGTCAAAGTTGTGGCCAAAGAAAACTGAGCAACAACTTTGTTGAACCATGCTGTCAGTACTTCAACCTTCTTCTCATGTCCCTTAATTCTTCCTCCCCATGCCCCAATATTCATAATTACTGGATTTCGCCACCTGAATTTGCATTCCCAGAACATGTAGTATTGTGGGAAAGTGTCAGACAGTAAATGGCTGTCATTTCTCTCAGGACATTTTAAAACCTGGTTTGTAAGTCTGTTCTTCCAAGTATTTTGTGCATGGATTTATTAAATGTGTTCTAATGTTCCTCTAAATGTAGAGATAAATTAGTGCAATGTATTAGATCTAAGCTCCAGCTATAATCAGAAGAATTCATGACTCATGTAAATACTTATTAACCATTGTTGTTAGCAGAAAAATTCCACAGTAAAGCTCTTGGTTGGACTCAATGATCTTAAAGGTCTTTTCCAACCAAAGTGATTTTATGATTCTTCCTTACAGGGTGTCCTTGTATCATCAATGGAACCAGTTATGAAGTGGGTGAAGTTGTGGCAAGCGTACAGGATGGAGAGAACTGTACAACATACGTTTGTGGTGAAAATGGCTCTATAGTCATTGGAAAGACTTTTCCTTGTCCAACACCTTCTTCACCAACAACCCTTTCAACCTCCTCTCCTACCAGTACTCTTACCACCACAGGTAAAGCTTCAATAGAAATGCACACCTACAAATTATTTTCTCTAAGGAAAATATTTTAAAGATCATTAGAATATTAAAAACTATTATTATATTTTTTCCTAAAGCTTGCAGATAATGGAGTAATCTTTTATTTTTCTATTTCAGTCAGCACTACAAGACGTCCACCAGCTACAAGTAAGTTTTAAATAGAAAACTAAGTTTTTAAATAACATCAAAAAATCATTTAAAGGAAAAGTAAAAAATGATGGCCACTACAGAAAAATATATTTAAAATAAAATAATTCTTTTAAATCGTAAAATGTCATAAGTATAGAGAGAAAAAAACACCTTTAAAGGCCTGGCTTGTAATCTTGCTTTTCATTTTTCTTGCAGCTCCATGTTTTGAATTTATCTGTGACTGGACTGAGTGGTTTGATGTCAGCAAACCTGAAGAAGATGGTGGTGACTATGAAACCTATGAAGCAATAAGAAAAGAGCACGGAGACAAAATATGTCAAGCTCCTGAAGAAATTGAATGCAGGGCTACGGATAAGCCTGATGTGAGCTTAGAGGAACTTGGGCAGAAGGTAGAGTGTAATGTCACCTATGGGCTGATCTGCAGAAATGAGGAGCAAGACGTGACTATGTGGCAGCTTTGCTATAATTATGAAATCAGAGTAAATTGCTGTGAGTGGCGTGAAACTTCTTGTGAGACGACGACGCGTCCAACACCAACTTCAACGCCAACCACCAGGAGCACAACAGTACCCACCACCACTACCACCAGGCAGACAACCACCACCACCACCACCACGCCCACACCCAGCCCAACCGTCACCGCTCCAGTACCTTCAACTTCTCCAGGTATTTAGCAGACCAATACCTTCTGCTCCTGCTTTGCCATAGGAGAAATAAAGGGCTGCCAGCTACCAAAGACATGTCATCTCTAGAGCAGATAGTGACAGGGAAGGAAGTCTTTCTTTGGTTGATTTGGAGCTCTGTCCTTCTGCTGGAGAGAAGATTCCCAGAAGGACGTGCTGTATGAGATTGGAGTGGGCCTTGGTTTACAATACTATTGTTTTAGTCATCGTTTGGGTGGGGCTGTGCAGATTTCCTGCCCTTTCTCCTCCTGCTTCCAGTGCTAGTGTTTGCCTGTGGTTATAGACCTAGGAAGGCAGGATGGATTTCCCTGCCAGGCTGTCAGGAACAGTTTTGCTCTGTAGGTTGCCACTTGCTGTGAGCTTTGCTCTTTGGCTGCTGAGACCCACCAGTGCTCAGTGAAGCTCACCAGGCTGACTCTGCAGCACAGGGAAGCTGCAGCCAGACAGGAACACGTTCCTGTGCATGCTTCCTTCCCAGAGCACAGCTTTCCTCCTCAGTTTTACTCCAGGAGGTAGCGGGGTGGTCTAAGTACAAAGGCAGAGACAAACAGCCTCTCAGAGCCTTTCTCCTCCTCATGCCTTCCCTATTGGTAGGTTGTTTGGGTTCAGTGAGAAGGACATCACAGCAACATCCCTAGTCTCTATGCTAGGAGAGGACTGTCTGTGTCCAGACTTGGAACTGAGCTGCTTTCTGGGGCCAGAAGGGAAGACCTACTGATACAGACCTTCACTCTGTTGAGAGTGGGCTAATGGACATGGGTGTGTGGCAGCTACCTCATGCATACCTTCTGCTCAGTGCATATCGTGTTCCACTCATGCATCCTGCACCTTTGTTTTCTCTGTTGTTTCTAACAGCCCCACCACCATCTACAGCAAGCACAGTACCCCCTCCACCCATATCAACAACCACCCCCCGGCCAACACCATCACAGCCTCCCAGCACCACCACCACCACCACCACCACGCCCCCCAGCAGCACCACCAGCAGGACCCTGGGGACAACGACAAGTGTTCCTGTTCCATCAACACCCACCACAACTGTTGGTAGCACGTCCGTGTCCACACCAATACACACCACCACCCCAATAGGTACTTGTCTTGTCTGTGCTCTTGCACGTTGCCTTGCTGAGGGAGAGATGAACGTCTGTGAGCACCTCAGCTTGTGTCTTCTCTATGGGGTTGGTGTGGGAATCAGTGTTCATTCCCTTTGGCTGCTGTAGGACCTTATCCTCACTTAGTCCCTGCTTAGTCCTCTCTCCCATGGTGTGCAGCCAGAGTGGAGCTTGGGTTTGGCGTGCTGTCATTTGAGGTGCTCTTTTGGGCACGGCCGTGTGGATTTCTTTTCCCTTGCATGGCCTTGTGGCCATTACTGCCCCTCCCACGCAGTTCTGGTTGTAGGAACCTGAGAAGATTTTCCATGGCAGAGTTTGGGGAATCCGTGTGCCCCTTGCTATGGATAAAGCCATGAGCAAACAGGTTCTCCCAGCATTCCCATGAGCGTTGCTCTCCACCTTAGCCCGCACTGCTGGGAAACAACCTGCTCACCAGCAGTATGAGACCCACTAACGTCTCAATGAATCTGCCTCCATGACAGAACGTCCTCTGTGCTTTGTAGGGCCGAGGAGGGGAGGCC